CCTCTATTACCCCGGTCAAATCCACCTCGTCCTCCACGACCACCAGCGCTACCACCACCACGCTGACCACCATCAGTTTTATATTTTGCAAAACTCAACGTCATCCTCTGGTCACTACCAGGGAATTGTGCGCCTAAAAGACTTCATCCATATAGCAATCATAACACATCAAATACCACAGTCGAAAACCAAAAACGCTGACCATTATAAGTCCTAATGACATCTTCCGCTGTTTTAGCATCAACAAACGTAATTGTACATTCGCCTTTTGGCTGATTGGTGTCCCTGTCTGTATATATCTTTATCCTCGGCTCACCAGTCCGTTCATTACGGGCTATATCACCTTGCGTGCAAAAAACATCGTGAATGAACTGCTCATTAACGCTAAAAAAAATTAAGAAAGCTTCATAATTCCATTTCCAGAAAAGCCAGAAATAGAAAAGAAAAACAAACTTTGTGGGGATCCCCTGCACAAATACTGTCTCGCGGACTTCAACCTGATCATCCCTTGGCCCTCCAAATCCACGTGGCGGTCCCCGGTCTAAAACAGCGGCCAATAACACACATAAACCAAAAGAAAACAAGACCATTTACACAAAACAACAGATATGTAACACAAACGCCCCCTTCGTAAAAACGAGCTCATCCTTAACAAGAAACTCGACACTAACAACTAAGTTTGCACTAGTGGCAAAAGGAGCCAATACTAACACGAATTGGCAAAACAAATTCAACTAAAAATTTTCTTTGAACAGTACCCCACGTCGATAATACTACCTTGAAAGCCTCCACGAGCGCCCGGGCCGCCGCTGCCCGGTCTGAAAAATACCAAAAGCGGTGAAACTCCATCCGTTTTTAATTCATCGTGTGCAATTCTTCATTAACTCTCCTTTGTTTTACAACTTTCGTATTACTTCAAACCATTTTAGACAACATGAAAAAGATCTTTTTCCTCTACTCTTCACTAATTGAAACACTGGAAGCTCCTTCAGCTTTACACACAATACTACTAAACACATTCTTGTTTAACATCAACTGCAGAAAAACTGCTACAAATATTTCCTTTTTTTCTTTCTACTACTTGTAAATTTAACGAGAGTTCATGGAGAGCATTAATTACGATGAGCATTCCAATTCGTCCATCGCACATGAATTCTTGAGTGCTAAACCAAACACAGTTTTTACACGATAACCACATTAATGTGTCTCTGCTTACATTAAAACGTGCCATTTAAGTACAAAATTTAGTATACCAGGGCAACGGTTGAGAGCGCTTTTGTTCCTTTTATTTTTTACTAATCCGTTTTTTTTTTTTTTT